GCAGTTTCTGTAGAGAAAGACTACATATTTTCCACTTGAGAAACATCAACATAGGACAAATGACCAGGTATGTAGTAAGCTTTATCTGCTGCTAGATTTTCTAAATGGGCTTAAGTTGCCAGTAGAAAGAATAGTTGGAATGTTTATTAAGCCTCTGCTTGCAATTTTGCTGTCAACTTTAATGGCAATTCCAATTAAATATTTGTTCTTTGCCTTCATTAGAAATATTAACTTAGAGTGTTAATATGCTGGCATGAATTTTTTATTCATTCAATAGGCATTTATTTAGCATAGGATACAGTATTAATTTTTCAGGATTCTGTGGTCAGTAAAAGACTGAGATAGTAACCAAAAAATACTTATTATACAGAAAAATAGAGAAAAATCAAAGCATATTGCATTTATTTGTAGGAGAAGCATTTTAGAAGATGGAGAATTCAGAGGAGAAAGCTGAGGGTGGAGTGGCAATCAAAAATCAGATCAGGATTGACTTTGTACTCCTTGCCAAGGAGACTGACTACTGCACTGAAGGCTATAGATAGACACTCACCAAATTTAAGCTGCAAGGAGAATGATCAGATTTATTATTTTTATACTGAAATGTGGGGAATGATTGAAGTTGAGAAAAACTAGAGGCTATAAACTAAGAAGACAATTTTGAGTCATTCCTACATGAGAAGTGATGGCAGCTTAAGACAGTGGCAGTGGGAATGGGGAATAAGAAACAGATTTAAAGGAGATTATAATAATAGAAATTGAAGACTGATTGGATATTGTGGGTTTTGAGGGAAATGAGTCTGTAAAGAATGTCTTAAGGAGGGATTTCAGGTTTTGAGTTTGATGACTAGGGTGATATTATTTCCACTTACCAAGACAGAGAATTCAAGAGCAAGAAGCAGAAAATTGGGAGTAAGATTGGTTATCGGTTTTACGTATGATGACTCTGTGACAATGGCAGACAACTGGATATACAAGCATCTAGTTCAAAGAGAGATGTGGGCTGGTAACATAGGATTTGTATGCAATCAAATAGAGTGAAAATCGAAGCCATAGGAGAAAAGGAAAAGGAAATCACTCAAGAAGAATATATAGAGAGAAATTAGTGAAGCAAGCTAGGAACTCTGGAAAGAGTTCAATACTATTTAAGGATTCTCCAAAAGGGAGCTCAAAATAAGCTTGAGATAGACTTGAAGAGGGTTGAAAAATGAATAGACACAAGATAACAGAGAGTGGGGAATAAATGCAAAGCACATATGTTGAGATAGCAACTGTAGACAACATGGCTATATAGAGATGGGAGAGGTTTCTTCATTTGTTTCTTTTTAGATGAGACCCTTGAAAAATATTTATATATGAAGCCCAGAGTGGAAGGAAAAAGAAGGAAAGGTTGAGTGGAGGCTTAGTAGAATGTCTAGCAAGGTACTTGGATTGGGATTCAGGCTAGGGAGGAGAAAGAATAACTTCCTACTGAGAGAATAGAAGGATGTAAAGATGGATCGAGTAGCAAATTAAGTACATAGAATAACTTTGAAGAAACAACTGGGAAAGCTCCTGCCTAAGACTTGGGTATTCTCTGTTAAGTTGGAGCTAAAGTCATCTGCTGCACCCAGGATCAAGACGGTGAGTAACAGTAAGAGGCTTGACGGTGTTGCTGAAAGATTGAGCCTGCTCCTGTGAAGAACAAGAATGAGGAAAGCCTCAGAAGGTATCATGGAGCTACTGAACAGTGTGGAGGATCCAGTTGAAATTATAATGCTAGCTGTTTTTGTGTGAGCATACTTTTCTCTTTAGTGTTCAGCAGTATAAGTTTACAAGTAGGGCAGAAAATAATAAAGTTCATCCCGAATCAGAGTTTTTCTGGATTGTAGGAGGAATGGAAAGCAAGGACACTGCTAATATTGGCAAATGTAGTCAAAATGGATCTAGCTTGGATGAACAAAATAATTTAGGGTAGGAGGAACAAGATACACCAGGAGAAAAATAGATTTCAAAAAGCCTGAAGGTCTAGATGAGGCCAAGTAGAGGTTTGTGGGCATAAATGAGGGTGACAGCTGAAAGGTTAGACAATTGTGATAAGATGAGAGGCTTAAAAGCTGGATTTTCAGATTTCAGAGACAGCAAAATTCTGGTAAAGACAAAGTCAAGGGTTAGGTGGCTAGAAATAAGAGTGGCTATAGTAAAATGGTATGGGAAGTTATGAGGCAACAAAAAATACTTGGCAGCCCACATGATATTGAAGTCACCCAGGATTTTGGCAGGATTGGGGTGAAAAGTATACTTATAAACTGGGTGCATTTTGCAAATTTTTGTTCACCTACCAATTCTTACATTTTCATGGAGACTCAGATTTAAGAAGAATTATAACGAACACTTGAAACATGATTTAGGCTTACAAATTATTATTCAACAACAAAAGTGAAGAAAGAACCAAAGAAAAGTAAGTAGAAAAGGACCTAAGTTATAAATGCAATCACCACTCCCCTCTCCCCTTTTTACTGATTACAGTTGTTCTTGGTCATTACCATTAATTTATAAAGTGGTCAGTAAATCTTGACCTATTATGTGACCACTAATTATGTGCCTAGCTTTGGCTAAGTCTTTTACTAATTATACTCTAAAACGAATAATAGCTAATGTTTATTGAGGGCTTGCTATATGCCAGTGACTTCCTGAGTGTTTCACGTATTTAGACCCATTTATCTCCATGAGGTAGGCATTATTATTTCTATTTTATAGATAAAGAAACTGAGGCACAATGATGATAAGTAATTTGCCTAAGATTTTACAGCACTAAGGGGCAGAGGTGGAATTTCAACCTGAGCAGAGTGGCTCTAGAACCACAGCCCATTTGAGACAAAAGACCCTAAATGAGAGAGTATGAATGGATGATAATAAGATGTAATTATTTAGGTGTATTCCCATATTATGATGGACCAGTATCATTCTGTCAAAAATGAAAACCAATAAATTATTGCCAATAAGTAACTAAGGCAAGAGTTAAAAATCATTTCATCCAACAAAAACTGGTGAGTATTATATTGAGTTGGTATTGGTAATAAGCTATGAAGAAGTATAATATGTATAATTTGCCTTCAGGTATTACTGATACACACGAGAAAGTAAATGACATATTTCATTAAGTAGTAGGAATTAAAGAAAAAAATTCCCTTTAAGGAGTTAAAGTAGATATTTCCCCTCATAAAAGTTTGTGTTCTTTTATGTATAATAATAACAAATTTGGCTACTTATTTTCTGAAACCATAACAGATTTGAATAAGGGGATTATCAGCAGTGGGAGCAGCAAGGGAGTGATCTGGAGGCCTTAGCCAACACCTATTTAACTCCCACTACCCCAGTTGGCACCACATAAATATTCAAGTTCACAATTACTATCTTCTTTCTAATAAGCTTGACATCAAACTTTTTGGAGGTATTAATCTCATCTGAACTAGTAAAAGGTATCTATAATCTTTATTTTTCCCACCATATGTGAACATAGATTAGTTTTGCTACAGAAATATTGATGTGTTAGACTATGCGATGCTGCTCAAACTCCACTTTGATGTATATCATATACAGGTAAGCCCCACATCACCTTTCTAAAATCCCAAACATTCTGAAATGCTGAAACACATCTGTTTCCAGGGTTATGGATAAGGGAAAGCAGTGTTTCCTCACCAAATGTGGCTTCAAGATCAGTCCTGGGCAGCCCCTAGCCTTCACCATCCTATGTCATACAAGTTATTACCCCACTAGAGAAGCTAAGAGTTGATCACAGTGGTGAAAACAGAAAAACTGTAAAATGCAGACTAAACTCCAAACAAACTAAATCAACACAACAATAACCCTTCTCCCATCAGCAATGACCAAGGCGACCATGTTTGGTATTTTCTATTTAAGAAAGAATGTATGTAATACTTTATAAAAACGATTGTCATCTTTCCATCCCAAAAATCTGTGCTTAAAGAAGTTTAACGTGGTATTATGGGGAAAAACCAACAGTCCAAAAGATTTCCTCAAATTTGTTGGCAACTGACTTATATTCTGACTTATAGGTATAAGACACATGACCACATGTGAAAAAAACATGCCAGTCAAATGGTCAAGATACGACAGTCTTAGCATTCATGAGAAAACATGCTTCTGGCTGCAATATGTAGGGACTGATTTATTATATTTTCAGGAAGTAAAGGAATATTAACCATGCTTCTTTAAAAGCATACACATTTTTCAAACTGGTGGGACTGATAACAATAAGAATCTTGTAACAACTGAATAAAGCAGACCTTAAGGGTCTCCTTTACCAATGTGACCATTTTAAGAAACAGACTCTTGTAGTTCCTGGGTCGGAGCAAGCTTATTATTATTATTTATTATATCTTGTTTGGAACAAAGAAGGAATCTCTAAAGGTGATAAATATTAATCCTTTTAATGGTGGAGGGCTATAGTCTGTCATTGTTCCAGAGAATTAGGTGACTTTAGGAAAGATAGTTAAGTTTGGAATAGTGTTGTATAGAGTAAAAATCATTTTTATAAATCATTTTCAAGAGGTAGAGGAGTTTAAGGTGAGTGAAAATAGCCACTCACATTAGTCAAGCAAGCTCTTCATAGGGGAATTCTGAAGGAAAACCAACGCAAAGGTGAGTTTTTATCAGGAGGCTAGCAAACAATAACAGCAAAATTCAAGTAGTATGGAAGCAATATTATCACTACTTAAATCAGCACTGATTTAATTTTTAGTTATCTTAGATCCTTAGATAATTCTTTCTATGGAGTTCTAGGTATTTGCCACATCTTTATCACCAGGTGCATATTACTGAGTATTGAGAAGACACAATTGTATGTTTCTAGAGAGATCCAAACTACGCCTGTTCTTTGAGTCTTGTGTTCATGTGAAATTATCATTCTACTGAGTTTTTCACATTGTTTGGTACTAAACTTATTGAAGCAATTTTTCAGCCAAAAGTTGAACAATGTGTTTTCCTCCGAGGAGACTTACTTCATAGATCAAAGAAGCCACGTTCCAGGGTCTTCGGTAGTATGTCAAAGTGTTTCCATCCCGATCCCGGTTACAGAGTCCATTGTAGAACTCATTGTCAAAAGGTGTGCTTAGGGGATCCATCCCTAAAATGTTGATCCTGAGAATGAACAGAGTAGTATCAGAAGTGGAAATAGCACAACATAATGCAAGGCAGCCCTCTGTAGCTGGAAAAAGTGAGACAGCTTCAGTTCATGTCACCGTCACCCAATATGTGTGTGCTATAATCAGAAACAGAAGCAAGAGCCTGTTCACCTTGGCTCAGTGTCCCTGGCAGAAAGCATACCTTAGGAGGGCCTTATGAACTCTTTTAGGCAACTAAGGCACTGTTTAGAGTGCAATGAAAGAAATGCAATAAGTAAGGCACATGGGACCATCTGGTTCCTGGAGTTTTAACTTCACTGCTGTAACTCTTACCTAACCTCCCTTAGTGAACCAATAACTGATGCCGTAATACCAACTATTTAAATTATTTGAGAACAGAGCATCTCAGGGGGCCAATATAACATATGCATGTAATTTTTCATCTATGAATCAATACTGGGGCTTTCTCTCTCTCTCCCCATTTTCTTTAAACTTAAGCCTTTTCCTCCAGCTGTCTCATTGCTTGTCAAGAACCTCATTCCCTCCAGGCTTGTATTATTCCCATTACACTTTCCAAGACGAACACAAAAATTTCAGCATCCTGGAAAGGCATTCTCAAAAGTTATATTTTTTCCCACAGCAAAATATTTTTATTTGGCAAGCTTTCATTCATAAATATAAATCTTATTTAGTTTTTAAAAAAGTTAAATTTTACTTCTAGGCTTAGAAACAATATACGAACAAGAAGCAGTTATTCCCTTGTGAAATACACCTCTGTTAATTGGAGGAACAGTCATTGCTGTCTAGGCTGTATCTGGAATAAATGGCCCCAAGCCAGGGAGGCCAATAGGTTTGCGGATCAGATCTGTAACTTACCTTGGCACAAAAACACAAACTCTTCCATTGCCCTAGGCCACATTCCTAACTCCAGTGAACTGGATTACAAATCTGGATGTTGGTTTTAAGACCAATTTGTCAAAGAGTGGGTAGTTTACCATAAACCCATGGCTTATGCAAGAGAAATAATTGAAAGGGTTTCCTGCTGCTAGTGGGTTAGTTAAAAACAACATCTTTATACAAATAGCACATTTTACATAAACTTTGAATCTACAAAGTTCTAGTGAATCTAAAGTGGTTCAACTTTAATGGAAAGCAAGTTAACAAACTGACGCATAAATATCTTCCTCAAGGCTGACATATAGATAAAATGGACCACCTCTCACTGCTTGTCCCACCAAAATACCTTTCATGAAAAATGCTATGGCCCTAAAGTTCTAATATAGGGACAAAAATTAGACCTATTAATTTGAATATGAGAAAAAAGAAAATAAATTATATATTTGATTTACTTTTTTAAACACCTTATTCCTCATGATAGATTAGAATTTTGGTCCCTATTCTTTACCCATCTCTGCATCTACACCCTTGCCATGGCCTTATCACAGGCAAAGTCTACTTCCCTCCCTAGTGGCTTTGTGCTTGGCCATGTGACTTACTTTAGCCAATGGCATGTAGTTGAGAGTGACAGTGGGCCAGTTCAAAGCATGGGCATGAAGAGGTCTCATTCATTGCCTTTGCTTTCGTGTATTTGTGCCATTGCCTTGAATAGGGCTTCTAATGGGTAGCCGCTGCCCCTTCAACCTGGCTATCACTGACCCCAGTGAAAAGCAGAACCACCCCAGCTGTTGTAGCTTGAGGCGAATCTCCCAGTGAAGCCCAGTCTTGTGAGAAATAAACAGTTATTTTTGTATCACTAAGGTTTTGACGCAACCTCTCCACCACAAAGACGTAAAATAGTGGAAGCAAGTGACCTGGGTTGTTTCTTAAACAAGACCTCAGCTACATTTTCTTTATATGATAGTGAACTACATATCCCGTGTAACTACATTAACAGAGACATTGTACCTCTTTGTTTTCAGTGAACAATGAAATCAACCTTTGTTTATATTGATGATTAGCTCTTAGGTGACTACCATATCTATGTGTGGTACAGCGTTTGCAATTGGCAGGGAGGAATATTAAGATAGTTTATATATACTCTCTGCTTCCATGCGAATTGTGTTCAAATTAAGGAGTAGAACATAAAATCACCAATTTCAAAAACTAGACCAAGGAAGAATACACAGTCAGTCCTCCGTATCTGTGGGCTCTGTGTCTGTGGATTCAACCAATCATGGATTGAAAATATTTGGAAAAAAATTACGTCTATGATAAGATTGTACAAACTTTTTTCCCTTATAGTATAGCACCATTTATATCACATTTACATTGTATCAGGTGTTATAAGTAACCCAGAGATTATTTAAAGAGGACAGGAGTATGTACATAGGTATGTGCGAATACTATGTCATTCTATATCAGGTACTTGAACATCCTAAAAGTTTTGTACGTGTGGGAAGTCCTGGAACCAATCCCTGATGGGTAGAAAGGGAAGATTGTACTGGTGCCAAATGAGCGGTACATGTGAGTACTTTACACATTGAGTCTTCTGGAGGAAGAAATCACCATGGGAACGTCATTAAAAGAGTTTTAGAAGAAGAAAGATTTGATTTAGGTTTTGAGGGGTGGGTAAATTAGGATTGGGCTAATGCAGGAGAAATGTGTGGGTAAGAGCTGAGAGACGGAAATGGCATGTGATGAGGGTAATGGTCTTCAGATATTCTGTTCGTCTCCCCTATAAAGGAATTTTGATAAATTATGCTTTCCTGTACATTTTTAGTGTGATATCTAATATTTTTCATCTTAAGATTAAGTAGATGCAAAGAATATAATTCCTAATAACGTTGTTATTATTTGTATTTTAACATATAATTATTTTACCACTTTAAAAATAAAATCAATAAATATAAATGCTGTAGTGATGCTGGGTTGTACAGCACTGATATTTTTCTAACAGTTGGACATTTTTTAGTTATTTTTATTCCTTTTTATTTATGCTTTTTAAGTAGGCTTTACTTTTTAGAGCAGCTTTAGGTTCACAGGAAAAGTGAACAGAAGGCACACAGACTTCCTATATACTCTATGCCCCTTTTTATTCTTGAATTCATATTTCTATGCCGTTTCCCCCACAGAATTTTAACCTAATGTAATATAGTTTATCTTTGAAAGTTTTCATTAATTACCTTGTCATACTTTTCTGTACCAAAAAGATACTAATTGAAATTTTAAAATATTAAATACTCTTTGACCATAGGGTCTAAGTATTAAAAATTCTTTATTAATAGTAGCATACATAAGTATCTTAAATTTTTAAAAATCACTACTAAACATAAATAAAATTTTGTTGGAAAGCTATCTTAATGAAATGAATGAGTCTTCTTTTTAAATTAATATGTTGGTTCCTGTATCCATAAATGAATATTACTTCATTCATTCATGGTGCTAGGAAGAGATGGTGTTCAGTATCAGTTTGATTCCTACTTTTCACTTTTATAGTTGTAAGTGCCGAGAAGCTTTACTCACATAAATAAGTAGATAAGAATAAAATAAATGTTCTTATAACAATGTCACACAAATTTTAATCCCTTTTTCTGAGTTATATACCAAAAAGAGATCCCATAGTTAGTGGTCTTTCATCAAAAAAATTTTTTTTGCTCCATTATCTAAAAATTGATTAGGTAATCTTTCAATGTTGATAAAAAGAATTTGAGATCACAAAACTTCAAGGTGTCAGAGTCCAGTTGAGTACTAACATTTGGAGTTGTTTCTTGTTTTCTTTTTTCCCTCTCTGTAGTAAATGTGAGATGGGTGAGGAGTATACTCTGCTCTTAGAAAGTAAGAAGTAAGTGATTGTTTAAAAAAGCAAGAAAGGAGAGTGGGCTTGACAACTTGGATGCAGCTGAATTGTCATGCTTATTAATTTTGTGAAAAACATGTACATATGGAAGTTGAGGATTTACTATTAGCTTAGCTAAATAATTAACAGTTGAGGAAACTATTACCTTAAGATTTACTTGTCTCCTCTTGGCAAGTTTTTGTGTACCCCGTGGTATGTATATCCTAGTTTGAAGGTTATTGTTTTATAGATCATCAAATTGGACAGTTGGCTGGATCCATCTGGAAAGTTACAATAAAGTTGATCCACAGTCTAAAGCACAACTAAGGAAGAAATGTTTCAAAAGCTTTGGACTTGGTTCCACTACTACAGGGACAGCCAGTCTAGTCTAGAATAAGCCAGTTTTTTTTTTTGCCAAGAAACATGAACATTTCTCATGGATGGAAAGTCATCATCCGGGAAATAAAAAAAAACATATGTTCTTTGGCAGTGCTTAGAGATGCCTGTTTTCACACCTGCATCTAGAACCACAGGCAGTTCCAATTTACCAGGTGAACTGAAGAGAAAGCTCCCTTTACAGAAGTGGTGTTATGCTTAGATCACAAAAAATAATTCCTTGCATATTGTACATCACTTACAGTTGGCTGGATTTATGCCTTTTCAATGAATGCAAGATGGGCTGAGGAATTTCCCTAAACACTTCTGGAGAATCTCAGATGCCTTCAAATAAGAGGCTGAAACATTTGTGATACAACTCAGTTCTCCTGGCATAAGAATATAAGTGTGAGAGGCCTTCCAATGAAAACAGTATAAATTAATTACCATGAGTGTTTGTGACTTTCACATGTAGAAGAATCTAACTGTATGTGACTATTGATAGGACTTGTTGAGGTTATCCAGATTGAATTCGGTAGATGTAGTTTATAAGCATGTTGCTATAATTAGGGAATTTACTCCTATTACCTCTATTTCGCAAAGAATCTGCAGCTCCATATAAGAATACGGGAGGTTTATAGTAAGTAAACACGCAACATTAATGGTATGAAAGACTATTACAAATATAACAATAAATGTTGTTTTGAAACCTCCTCCTAAATACTAATTACTGATTTATACCACTCTCCTATATTCCTTAATTCAAATATTTGTGTGATAAGTAGCTACTTAAGGAGTTTCATTTTTTAAAGTTAGTTTTGCTTTGAAGTTAAGGTGTTGAAGTTAAGACTTACGGATTTTGTAGTGATGTGAGGGAACTGCTGTGGGTATTGGTTAGTGTTTTAAGGAGGAGAGGGTAAGGTGGTATAATAGAAAAATACAGTTTTATGAGCCTCAGAGAAACTTGTTTCAGCTCTACTAGAAACTAATCATTCAAACGGCCTTATTTATTTCACTCATTTCTTATCTGTAAAATGAATATAATACCTCCTCTAACAATCTCCCAGGATTATTAGGAAAATCCATGGAGATACAGTGTGGAAAAATATTTTGAAAAGTTTAAAGTATTATGCAAATGAAAGTTGTCATAGAACAATAGGGTTTATGAAGACTAAATTTAACATAGGTTGTTACTCATGGTAATGAGAAATTTAATAAAAAATGTTGATGGACTGATTCTATCAGGACCTACTTCATTTTCCATTTCTACCAGCCTTGTTCTTACCTTTCCCCATGGCTGGGGCCCCACCTTCTTACACAGCCTTGATGACTCCTCTGTGGGATGGTCACCAACACCAACCCTGACTGTGTTAAAGCGTGAGATATTTAAGAATTCCTAGCTAACCCTGCTTCATTATGAAACTCCCTGGCAAATGCTATGCAACAAATTTTTATTTTCCCTGAACAAAGGAAACCAATAGATTATGAATGATTGTTTTTCAGCTAAATGGGCTAATATTTCTATATTCTTTTCCTATAAGACAAACTGTAAATTTGCATTGAATGAGAATGAATAACGTATGTTAAGCTGTTTTATTGAGATTAAAGAGAAAATTGTTTCTTGAATCCCAATTAAAGCAAAATAAAGTAGTAATGGGCTTTCACCATGGACTCACAATCTTTCCCTGAGGAGATAAATAAAAAGAATCTGGACTCATTTGAGCACACCATCATCTAGTTATAAGGTTTGGGAAAACTCCCATACCATTTACTGCCTAAAATTTACTAAGAGGGCCTGCTGAGCTTAGGGGCCTAAGCCCATCCATTTGATTCAAGATTTCCACCTTTAGGCTAAGGGCCAAAGGCACTGTAAGTAATTTTGAACGCTGCTTGAACAAGACTGTATAAAGTGTATGAAGGGCACACGAAATGCTTTATCTGGTACCCGACTCTTGGTATCCTGGGATATTTTTCTTACCTAGACTTAAGAAGTAGAAGTTTCATTTGACTTAGAAAGAGGAGACATCTCCTTCATTAGCTAAACTTGACAGAGGTCTTATCATAGGAACTGCCTAGTACCTTAGTGTAGGGTTTCTCAACCGCGGCACTGACGCTTAGGGTCAGGCTGTCCTGTGCTTAGCATCATCTCTGACCTCCACCCACAATATAACAATAGCACTCCCCGTTCTCGCACCCTCCAAGATGTCACAGCTACAGTGGTCTCCAGATATTGTCAAATGTCTGCTGGGGAAAAAATTACCACTGATTGAGAACCACTGCATTACCCTTCTACCAGTCTTGCTCTGACCATCACCCCTATCTTTTTTCATCTTCCCATCTCCATACCCAGGACTGGAGTCCTGTCCCTGAAAAGAAATTCAGTCTTACCTGATGCCAATTGACAATATTTTAGAAAGCACTTAATAGATATTCATTAATTAATAATTAGCCTATTTATCCACCTACCAAGTATTTACTGAGCACCTACTATGACTCAGGCACTGGAATTATGAGGAGACACATTACATTATAGGTGAGGAAATAAAGTCATATACCATGTCTTTCAATATACTACTGGGTAGAATAATGACCGTGTCTTTGTTGAGGACAATTTTCCAACAAATCCACTTTTACCAAAAACAGCAACAAATCCACCTTTATCAAAAACAGCTCAGATGAGTAGATTGCAAAAATTTTCTCCCATTCTGTAGGTTGCCTGTTCACTCTGATGGTACTAAACACTGCATGTTCTCACACATAGGTGGGAACTGAACAATGAGATCACTTGGACTCGGGAAGGGGAACATCACACACCGGGGCCTATCACGAGGAGGGGGGAGGGGGGAGGGATTGCATTGGGAGTTATACCTGATGTAAACGATGAGTTGATGGGTGCTGACGAGTTGATGGGTGCAGCACACCAACATGGCACAAGTATACATATGTAACAAACCTGCACGTTATGCACATGTACCCTACAACTTAAAGTATAAAAATAACCTGCTCAGAATGACTAAGAGAGGCCGTGTAGTAGATATTCCTAGGATGCCCTCTGACTATATATGGAACAGAACAGAACAGAACTGAATTTCTCTATTCTGTATAGTCTGAGTTCTAAACTCCAAGACATCCCATCTGAGATCACAGCCACCTGTCTGGAAGCCCTAGGTTTTGTATGGAAAATGAGTGAAATGTCAGTTCTCTATAATGAGAACCAGAACCTCAACATAATCATCCTCTGGCATCAAAACTGCTTCCTCTGATCACATTCCTCCTGGGTCAGCTCCAGAATGCTGGAAACTCCCAAGATCCAGGAGAAGTTCCAATGGAAGACAGCCTTCCTAGCAATGCAAATATTTGAATTGAATTGCTCGATCTCCTATTGGAAATTCATTCCAAATGTTAACATGTCATGTCAGTGTTGCTGTGTTCTCCCAGAGGTTCCTAAATGAGAGATTTCATCTCTTGCTCGACTGAGAGACAATCATCTAAAATCTTGACAATCTAGTCCAGTCTACAGACCCCTACGGAGGCCAGGAAATTTGTCCAAATTATCCTGAGATGCTTATTTAGCACTTCCTTTAAGCTCAAAGGTAGTTCAAAAATAATACAGACCCATCAGCTGTGTCACCTGCATCCCTCACACAAATGCTTCTACCAGCCTGTCACAGTGAGAGAGATGGAGATCATTTTCACTCATCTTCATCTGAAAAAGTACAAATAAAACACAGACCCGTAGCCTGCTGTTCGTGCCAGCTCAGACTCTTCTACCACTCTGTCTCTGCAGGGGGGACGGGGATCACTTTCACAATCATCCTCATCTGAAAAGTCTCCACAGTCATTGTCACCATTACACAGAAGTCGCCTCTTTATGCATCTGCCTGCAATCAAAATCAGGAAAGACTCAATGTGTCAAATGCCAAATTTTTTCTTTCTTTCTGAAGTTATCATATGCACTTTAACCCTGGAGGTGAGGTATCAGAAAAACACATTTGAGTTCTTCGTACAGAATATAGAGATGGTTGTTTTGGGGGCCTTTCGCGCTTGGAAATCCAGGTGTCTAGAAGCATATGCTTTTTTTTTTTTTTTTTCCTTTTCATTCAGGAAGGCACACAGAAACCCACAATGAGCAACTGGAGCACAAAGATTACCTGTACTGCATTTAAAGTCATTTCCGCAGTCATCCTCAGCATCCTCACAGGGCTCTGTGGGCACACACTGTCGTCTGTCTCCCACAGCATCGGTGCAACTTTTCCCATTAAATTGTCCGAAGACCTCAATGCTTCTTGAACGAAACTGCACAATATCAGTTAGAATAATTAGAATTTCTAATGCCAAAAAAAGTGTACGGTCTAAAGGTGCATCCATACAACTATATCCCTCCAGTGAGTCAATGGTTTTAAGATAGAAGCAGTGGAAGAAGTCACTGATGTCATTTAGGGTAACACTCTGCATTCTAGGTTTGGCAGCCTCTTATACAGATGAGTCCTCTGGACACTCATTTAGTATTCTGTACAACATAAAGATTTCCTGGAAGAGTCAGCAACATACATTTAAATGTTTATCCCTCTTTCTGGGTTTGGTACTCAGTTGTGGGGCTCCCTGCCTCATAGTCGTTTTTCTGGAGAGGCTAGCAATACAGTTTCCATTTGGGGAGGTCAATGGGGAAGGGAGATGAACACTTACCATTTGTCTGAGGCAAGGATCGCATTGTGACCATTCACTCCAGGGGCTCATTCTGCAGTCTATGTGCGATGCGGGGCCACGGCTTTCTGTTGGCTGTGGGTCATAACTAAGATAATAGAACATGCCAGTTTATAATGACCATTGTGTATGTTTGTTTCCTAGAAGTGTTCACAAACACAGTTCATTTTGTACTTTATCCCCTCTCAAATTACACCATTTATCTTTTTACTGTATCTTTCATTTCACCCTTAGTTGCATGCTGTTTTGTATTTTCAACTCATCTTTTTGTTTAATTTTTGTCTGTATTGTAAGTTAACTTTTAACTTCCTAGCAATGCAAATATTTAAAACAACAAAATAACGACAAAGACGAAAATTAGCCAAGCATCTTTCCAGGTATTTTACATAGATTAATCTTATATTTTCAACTAGATTATGAACTTAATGAAGCTAGAAATCTGATTTTATTTTTTTGTGTGTGTCTTCCTTGCCATCCACCATACCCCACTCCTCACCAAGAGTCTGGTGAGGCTAAGTTACCTCATTCTCTTGCAAATTTAAGTCAGCCAGCCCAGGCCCAGCCATTCCTGTAGCAGGCACTTCATAAATCAGGCGTCCCCTCTCTGGTATTCTGTATGCCCTAAACTGGATGCTTTGCCACTTCACACTTCACTTCAGGAATTATTCCTGATCTTTCTGAGTTTTAACATATATTTTGGCACTTATGCCTCCCTTTCCACACCCAGGCCCACTGCTCAGAAGTGCTTTTCTGGCTTTGAACTTTCCTTTCTCTGTTGGTTCACCATTTGAGTCTCTTCTGGTTGAAATATTACCCGGGATAATTATAATAAAAGAAAACACAACAGAACCAGAAACCACCAAACAAGAATCCTACAAATTCCCTACCTCTACTTGCCTGACCTGACACTGATCCTTCCTATAGCTAAGCCTCTTAAACCACAGAAAAGGCTAGGCGAGGCCAATCTCTCCTCAAATGCTCTAGATCCCAGCTCCCGTTAGAGACTCAGATCCATTGAATATCTTGTTCCTTTTAAACTCTCCCTCTCTACTGTCTCCTTTCCATTTGTAGTATAAACTGTTCAAGTTTGTGACATTAAACATAAAAAGCCAATGAATGAACAAATCATGCACCCTCCTTGATTTCACATTTTTTTCCAGCCACTCCCATCTCCCTCCTGCCCTTCACAATAACACTTCTTAGAATAATTGCTGGAAACACATTTATGTTTTTCTGTCATCCGAAGAACAAGTCTTATCTCCTCCTTCAAACTCTACATGTCCTTTTAGTTACTTCTAAATTCTATTTTCTTTTTAGCCATATTTCTCGAGAAAGTAGTTAGCACCCTCATCTCTTGTTTCTTACATCCCAAATACTTCTCAACCATCCTGCCCTGTGAACACTGCTCTTGCACAAGTCCGTGATGACTGCCATGTGCCTCACTGTTCCTTTCAGTTCTTATCTTACTGATTGCTTCATGACATTCAATGTATTGACCACTGTTGCTCTTCAGGACACTCTCTTCTCTTGGATTATAGGCTCTTTTTTCATTTCTTTTTTTCTTCTCTGCCTAGTACTCCTACACTTCTATGCAGGCCCCCTTCTTCTGATAGTCCTTGAAATACTTATTTTCCCTCAAGGTCCTGTCCTTGGATGTCTCTCTCTCTCTCTTTTATTTTTCTCTATATTTTCCCCAGAACTTTGGTTTTCATGTTTATGCTAACGACACTATATTAGTCTATTCTCACATGGCTATAAAGAACTACCTGAGACAAGGTAACTTACAAAGAAAAGAGGTTGAATTGACTCACAGTCCCACAGGCTATACAGGAGGCATGACTGGGAAGGTCTCAGAAACTTACAATAATGGCAGAAGAGTGAAGGGTAAGCAAGCACGGCTTCACATAACATCAGGAGAGAGAGAGCAAAGGGGGAAATACTACACAGTTTTTAACAACCAGGTCTCATGAGACCTCCATTGTGAGAACAGCAAAAGGGAAGTCCAGCCCCATGATTCAATCACTTTCCACCAGGCTCCTCCTTGAACATGTGGGAATCACAATTCAACATGAGAGATGGGGGCACAGTGCCAAACTGTATCATTGCACCCTGGTCCCACCAAAATCTCATGTTCTTCTCACATTTCAAAACACAATGATGCCTTCCCAACAGTCCCCTAAAGTCTTAACTTATTCCAGCATTAACTCAAAAGTCCAAGTTGAAAGTTTCATCTGAGACAAGGCAAGTCCCTTCTGCCTATGAGCCTGTAAAATCAAAAACAAATTAGTTACTTCCAAGGTACAATGGGGGTACAGGCATAGGGTAAATGGTCCCTTTCCAAAAAAGGGAAATCAGCCAACAGATAGGGGCTATAGGCACCATGCAAGTCCAAAACCCAGTTGGACAGTCATTAAATCTTAAAGCTCCAAAATGATCTCTTTTGACTCCATTTCTCATGTTCAGGGAATGTGGATGCAAGGAGCAGCTCTGCTTTTGTGCCGCTGCAGAGTAACACCTGCAGCTGCTTTCATGGGCTGACATCGAGTGCCTGCAACTTTTCCAGGTACACAGGACAAGTTGCTGGTGGATCTACCAATCTGGGGTCTGGAGGATGGTGGCCCTCTTCTCACAGTTCTACTAGGCATTGCCCCAGTGGGGACTCTGTGCAGGGGCTCAAATCTGACACTTTTCCTTCACATTGCCCAAGTAGAGGTTCTCCACAAGGGCCCTGTCCCTAGAGCAAATCTCTGCCTGGACATCCAGGTGTTTCTATACATCCTCTGAAATCTAGGTGGAGGTTCCCAAACCTGAACTCTTCCCTTCTGTGTACTTGCAGGTTCAACACCATGTGGAAGCCACCAAGGCTTGGGTTTGTACCCTTTGAAGCAATGGCCTTAGCTGTACCTTGGCCCCTTTTAGGCACAGCTAGAGTTGGAGCAGCTGTGATGCAGGGTGCCATGTCCCAAGGCTGCACAGAGCAGTGGGGCCCTGGGCCTACTCCATGAAATCATTTTCACCTCCTAGATATCCAAGCCTGTGATAGAAGGGGCTACCACAAAGGTCTCTGAAATGCCCTGAAGGCATTTTCCCCTTTGTCTTGGCTATTAACATTTGGCTCCTCTTTAGTTTTGCAAATATCTGCCGTTGACTGGAATTTCTCCCCAGAAAATGAGTTTCTCTTTTCCACCTCATGGTCAGGCTATAAATTTCCCAAACTTTTACACTCTCCTTCCTATTTAAATATAAGTTCTCTTTGCTTATGCAAATGAGCATAGGATTTTAGAAGCAGCCAGGCCATATCCTGAACACTTTGCTGCTTAGAAATTTCTTCTACCAGATACCCTAAATCATCTCTCTCAAGTTCAAAGTTCCACAGATCCCTAGAGCAGGGGCACAATGCCACCAATCTCTTTGATAAAACATAGCAAGAGGACCTTTGCTCTAGTTCCCAATAAGTTCCTCATCTCCGTCTGAGACCACCTCAGCCTGGATTTCATTGTAAATATCACTATCAGCATTTTGGCCAAATTCATTCAACAAATCTCTAGGAAGTTCCAAATTTTCTCTCATCTTCCCTTCCTGTCTTCTTCCAAGCCCTCCAAACTCTTCCAACCTCTGCCTGTTACCCAGTTCCAAAGTCACTTCCACATTTTCAAGTATCTTTAAAGCAATGTCCTACTCTTGTTACCAATTTTCTGTATTAGTCTGTTCTCACATGGCTATAAAGAAGTACCTGAGACTGGGTAACTTCTAAAGAAGAAAAGTTGAATTGACACAGAGTTCCACAGGCTGTATAGGAGGCATGGTCGGGGAGGCCTCAAGAAACACAATCATGGGGGAAGGGTGAAGCGGAAGCAAGCACATCTTCACATAGCACAAGAGATAGAGAGTGAAGGGAGAAGTACTACATACTTCTAAACAACCAGATCTCATGAGAACTCCATCACAAGAACAGTAAGGGGGAAGTCCTCTCCCATAATTAAATCACTTTTCACTATACCACAGGTATACTATACACATGGGAATTACAATTTGACATGAGATTTGGGTAGGGACACAGAGTCAAACCATATCAGACACCCAGAGATAAGTCAGCAGCCCAGACATCTTTCCTGAATTTTACACTTTTGAATACAGCTTCCAACTGGACCATGCACTCGAAGGTCTTCATGGCTTATTGAACTCAATGCATTCCCAAATAAGTGCATTAATTTTTCTCCCCTCTCAAATATGCTTCTCCCTTGTATTTATTGTCTTGGTAAATGGCACTTCCATTTACACAGTCATTCTAATTAGAGACCTCGTGCTACTTGTCTCATCCTGCACTTCAGTCCTCATCTATGCCATCAACAAAAATTTGTTGTTTACAGTCTTGTAAATGACTCTCAAATCGATCCATTCTCTTCATCTCTTTCAGATGTTTCTTCTTGTCTACACCAACCTTATATATCTCCTAGATGACTACAAAAATTACTCTCTAATTCAGTTTCCACAAGGCATCCAGAGGGGTCTTTTAAAAATGCAAATTTGATCTTACCATTCAGTTACCAGAAACCTTCAGTAGTTTCCCACCACTCTTGTGATGAAGTCTAAGTTTTTTTAAACATAATGCAATAGGCAGAAAAACAACTCTCAAAGATATCCCTGTTCCAATTCCTGGTACCTGTGACTATGTTGCCTTACGCGGCAAAGGGGGCTTTGCAAATGTGATTATGGGGAGATCATCCTGTATTATTTGGTTGGGCCCACTCTGATTACATGGGCTCGTTAAAGGAGAAGAGTGGGTGAGAGAGATGTGAAGACAGAAAAGGCAGGAGAAATTCAAAGCATGAAAAGGGATTCCACCTGCTGTTGCTGGCTCTGAAGATGGAAGAAGAGGGCAATGAGCCAAGAAGCACAGGCAGCTGTAGAATCTGGGAATAGCAAGGACATGATTTTTCTTTAGAGCCTCCAGAAAGGAATCCAGCCCTGCTGGCACCTTGATTTTAGCCCAGTGAAACTTAATTCAATTTTCTGACTTCTAGAACTGTTAGATAATAAATTTGCGTTTTAAGCCACTACTTTTGTGGTAATTTGTTACAGCTGTGA